TAAATCAGGCAAGTTTGTGTATGAAAGCGTGATTTTTTTCTTCATTTTTTCATATAAAATTCCGTGTTGATCAAAAAATTTTTATTAGTGAGTGACACTTGACCCCCTGTAGATCCGCAATGTCCTGTGACTGATACCGTAAAATCTGGAAAGATAGCACCCCCTTTTTACAATATGATCGATATTCAATTTGAGCATAAGATTATCCAAAAAAGGTAACGAATTTATTACACGAAATATTAAAAATATATATTGATATTTTATAATGAATAAAAAAAAATTTATTAAAAACGTTCAAATTATTCTAAATCATCACTATAATAAATATGATAAGACATATTATTTTCAGTATTTTCTTTATCTTCCACAAATACTTCATCAAGTAATTCATAAACATTATTATCTTCTAATTCATCAATAGGATTTGTTATCTTTTTAAATGAATTTAATATAAGTTCAGAAGAAATACTGTCCCGAGCATTTTTAACCCATTTGCAAACATCACTGATACTTGCACAACATAAATAACCACCTGCAGTAACACCATTGCCTCCATTACGCATCTATTCATCCCATTCTTTTTTTAAATGTTCTTTGAATGGTTTATTGATCGAAACATCAAGTGGCTGGCATATACTTGTACACCCACCTGGAATAATAGCTAAATTAAAATAGTTTGCCTCAAATTTTTGTTTAACAGTTTCTTTTAAGTGTCCAGAAAAAGAATCATAAACCATTAATGCAGGTTCCTTATCAATTCTTTTATTAACTCTGTCTTCAATTAACATATCTATATATTTTTCCATGAGTTCAGAATTCATCCAACCTTTCTCTTGAAACCAAACTACAACTCCATCAGGAATTGTTTGACCTTGTGGTAATTTTTTTCCTTTAAAAATACATATTGGCTTCAATTTTGATCCATCTATTGATAAAATTTATTATATATGTGAATTTATTTTTTTTACAATTTTAAATGCAAATTAAAATTTTAATCTAATACTGATTAAATACATAAATATACCAAAAATTAAATTAATTTTACTATAAAATTATTTATATAAATAATAATTACTAAATTATCTCCTGCACAGGTTAAAACCACAGTAAATCTATTTTTTTCATTACCAGTACACTTAATATGTACTGTTTTTTCACCTTTTTGGCTGATAGTTAATCCTCTTGACATATCAAAATATACTGAAGTTTCATCCATATTATACAGTGTGTAACAAAACTTTTTGGAATTTTTTATTTGTCCATAGCTCAAAAGTTACCACATAAAAATGAATGAAAAATATGTCAAAATATAGCTTAAAATCTGAAGTTTTTATTGATATAAAGTTAATAGTTTATTCTCTCGCCATTGTTCTCAATTATCATCTCACATCTCCTTCTCATTGAGCTGACAAGATTGATTAGAATATTATTTGGGATTTTATTCCATTCTTCTGTCATGTACTGTTCAAATTCTGAAAGATTTTGAGGCATACACATTTCTACATTTCTTTTGACAATAGCCCAAAGGTTTTCAATTGGATTTAAGTCTGGACTATTGGAATAACTTCGGGAAAATTTTCATTGAGGACATTATCATGTTGGAAGCACCAATTGCTTCCAAGCATTCTATTAATTTCCTGCTTATGCCTTTGCAAAATATCAACATAAAAATTTGCATTCATGATTCCCCTGAAGCAAAAAAGAGGGGTTTTCCCTTGCATACAAAAACCTCCCCATGCAAAGATTTTAGTGCGATCTTTAGTACTGGCCTTTCACCTCTGTACCATTGAGTTATTGTGTTTCTGAACAACTGAATGGCAGTTTCGTCAGAAAATAAAGTGTTCTCACAGTTGTCTTCAAGATGTCTTGTTGCCCAACCAACACAAGCTTCTTTATGGGCAACAGTAAGCATAGGTGTCTTTAAAGGCAAATTATTTTGTAGCCTAAACTTGTCAAATGTCTTGTAATAGTCATATGAGACACTTTGTGATATTGTTTGATAATTTGTTTGACAAAGTCCTTGTGGAAAGTCTTGGATCATGGTGCAAGTATTGGCCAATCACTCTTGATTCATGTGCAGTAATTTTTTTGGGATGACCACCTCCAGATTTTCTCAAATTAACACCTTTTTCATTCAATTTTTTAAGATTATAATAGACAGTAGACATTGTAATGCCAGTTCTGGAATGTATTTCTTTTGCAGAAGTTATTCCATTCTGCCACAATTGTAATATACTTTTTCTTTGAGTATCTTTATCAGAAGATGACATTACGTTAACAATTTTACAACAAAATCAATTCAAAACAAATGATCTAATCATGTATTAATTTAGTTTAGTACATATTGTTCATGTGTTCAAAATATGACACGAATAGTTTTTATTTTCAGAATGTTATTAACGTTTGAAACGCATGAAAAATTTTCCAAAAAGTTTTGTTACACCCTGTATATATTGTAAAGTTCATAATTAAATTCTAACCTTTTTTTAATTATATATTTATTAAATGAATTTAGTTGATGATGGAGTTGCTCAGGTAACTTTTGAGATATTTAGTTTGTCTTCATAAAGAAAGGTTTTTATGTCTTAAAAATCCAAGTAACCAGCTTTTGGAATATTTAAAGGAACCACTAGCTTCTGGGTATATAAATTTGAAATGTGGCTCATTTAAAATTTTTTGCATTTGATTTGAAATATTATAATAAGTAACAGCAAATGCTTGCTTTCTTTGTTCAATAATCCATTTGTAGAGTTTTTCTTCTGCTTCTGGAAAAAAGGCTCTTCTTCCTGAACCTAATGCCTTAGTTTTATTTTTTACAGATTTATCCCATTTTTCACAAGCTTTAATCCACCTACCAATCATTGTTGGCTCTAAGTTGAACTGACGACTAGCCTCATTTCTTCCATGAATTTTTGCAAACTCAACTATTGTCTTTTTTTGAAATATAGTATATGATGATTTAATGTGACAAGGTATATAATTTTCCATTGGGAAAATTTTATTTTTTCCCTTAATATTTTTTTTTGTTTATCTTGTGAAACATATAATTATCACCTTTTTTAGTTCTATTTTTGGAAGGTGCTATCTTTCGGGGGGCGATATCTTTCCAGACTTTACGGTAATAAATTTACTAATGTCCAAAATGGCAACTTCGTGACACAGCTTTTTTTATTTTATATACAGTATATATAATAAAATTCTAATTTTTTTTTATTTTCAACATCATTAACAAACTAAAATACAAATCCACCTTTAATTAAATTTGTTATTTATTTTATTGTTACTATTTATTATTCTCGAAAAATGTCAACCTCACATACATCAGCAAACACCAACCAACAAAGCATATGTGTAACATTTTTTTTATATTGATGTTCAATTGTTTTAAAGTAGGGGCGGTATTCCATTTACACTGCTAAACCTATAAGATACTTTTTATAATTATTATTAGATCAGACAATAGATAGTAAAAAAAATGTTTCATCAACATTTGATCCAATATGCAAGTATAATTTTATTTTTTATATTTTAATCAATGATTGAAAATATAAACTTCACTTATCTACTGAATTTTTAGCTGGTAATGAACCACTTGAATCGGTCTTTGAACTTCCCAAGGGTTGGGCACTGAAAAGCAACCAAAAATATGGACAAAAAGGTGGTGGTAATCATATGCCTGTGCAAATTACAAGTTTGTTAGAAGGTTTCTTTTTAGCTGGAGATGCAGATAGAACAAGAATATAGATGCTGGTCACAATTCTTAGTGATGGTTGCAACCACCTTTGCGACCACTTTGGTTTCCTTTTTTGGATTGCAACATGGAACACTAAACAAGAAGATACACTGCTGAAACTATGTTGGAAGAGTTGAACATTATGGTGGAAGAAGAAGGCCAGTTTGATAAAAGCAAAGTTCCAAAACTCCAAACTATAAAATGCAAAAAGAACCTTGAAAGAAGTTGGTATTCCCATTGAAATGAGTAGAAAATGTAGTAATTCTAACACTATTATAGGGGAAAATTGATCGACATACTTAATTTCATATATAAAAATATAAAGCAGAAACCTTCAAATGGCAACTTCATACATAACTCTTTTTTTCTAACATACAATAAAGATTTTTTTTTTGATTTTCATGTTTTTTCATATTTATCCTATTGTTTTGAATAAAATTTGGTGCAATATAAATTTTGTATGTTGTATAACTATTTCACAAACACAATCAATTATTTTCTTCAATTAGTAAATGTGCCCTGAATTTTTGTATGTAAATCCCCTGCTTCATACATGTTTCACCAATTAATACAGATAAAACAATGACCAATTGCAAGAATTAGCCTTACATCTTTATGCAATATCTCCATTTCAAGCGGTTGTGAACATAACTTCTCTACATTAAAGTGGATTTATGGGGATTATCAAACCAAATTAAGTATTTACAAAGTTGAAGCAATGTGTAAAATTTGTTCATATTATATTTCTAACTTGGATAAAGAATTAAAATATTATGGTAAAGGGTTGAATATTAATGAAATAAGGAATAATATATTTGATTCATCAGTTACTGATAATTTTTTTGATGAAAGTGATTTTAATAATATTAATGATATAGAAAATGATGAAAATCAAAATATTAATATTAATAGTAATTTAGAATTAGGTAATTTAATAAATTTAAGCTTACCAGAATTCAATTCAAATTTTAGATCAGATATTATTAATGAACAATCAGAAAGTTTAAGAAATATAAATGTAGGAAATATGTCTTATGATCCAAGTGCTCTAGTAGAAATATTATGAACCAGGATGATTTGGAAAATAATTAAATAAATTGTTTAAAATTTTAACATGATTTTATTTGAATATATATATAGTAATAAAGATATAAATTTTTAAAAATTATAATAATAAAGTTTCGCCAGTTACCAATTTCCCAGTTGCGCCAATTTCACCAGTTGCACCAGTTGCAACAGTTACAGCAATTTCGACAAACATCCTTTGAGTTGTACCATTGGTGGAATAGTTTCACCAGTTACACCAGCCGTAACTACTCAATTTCACCAGCAACCTTATGTGGGACACCCCAGTACTATACGTACTGTACATATAGTGTTCAACTATACACCATTTGCCCATTTTTAAGCAAGATGTTGTTTTTCATTTACTTCTTTGTACATATGAATACCTTGTATGCTTTTATGACCTGTTGTTCAATTAATTCAGAATTCGTAATCTTATCAAGCAGCATAATATAATTATAATTCTTTAAATTTAGTAATTTAATTTCGAGTTGATTTTTAGTATTTGCAATAATAGCTTTTTGATGATAAAAATTGAGTTCTCATAAATTTCAAATGGTGCTTGTTGTGTGGAAATGGTATTTGAAATACTTTGAGTAATAGAATCAACTGGTAAAGTAGAAATCGAAGCCTCAGAAACTTTTTGGGAAAGGAGCAAACTTGCATTAGCAAAATAGGTTGAAATACTTTTTTGGGACCTTTTTGCTTTTTATTGTTGTGAATTTGATGCATTTTTATTAAATAAGAAATGTTTTAGGAAAGGATGCAAATGGTAAATTGTGATTTTTTATCATAAGTAAAAAAAAAAGACTTTATGTAAAATAAACTTTTTCATAGCAAAATAAAATTTTTTTCATAACGGGCGTTAATCTCCGTAAGATAAACCAGTTATTTCACAGATTCCCGTGAAATAACTATTATATAAATATATCAGTCATTTTGGATTTATGAACTGTAATAATATTTATTTGATTCCCGCACATTAAGTCACAAAATTTATAAAAAATTGAGGTCGGACGGTACACATCTCTAAAATCATACTGCGCGCAAATAAACTATCATGTTTGGATTGAGCATTCCGCACATTGATTTTAGACAATGCCTAGTTCTGCAACTTTTTATTGGTCTTGTAGGTCCTTTAGTAACATGAAAATCAAATCATAGTTTATGACCTTTCTCTACAAAGTTATGATTTCATTTTGTCATTGTTGAACCAATCAAATTGCAAGCTAACCTAATGAACAATTAGTGTGTAACATGACGAAACTCCGCCAATTGATTTCTGGAGGAGTTTTGGCGAATAACCATACCATCAATTAAAACTTTTGACAGTACATGATGTGCTAAAATATTACATTTTTCCTTAATAAAATCACTAAAATATTGATTGAATATATATATATACATATATCATCAATTGCTTCATTTGTATGACAATGCTTGCACAATTGGTTTTTTTTTGAACATTGACATGTATTTGTTTTATAATAAAAGGCGAGATTAAAGTATCATCTTTATTTCATACTCATCATCATTCATATTAACATATATGTCAGAATCAAATTCTTCCTCTGAACTTTCTATATTTTCAGTTTGAGCAGGTTGTAAAGATTGAAAATTGTTCTTTACTCTTTGCATGATGATTTAAGTAATCTTCATCCCAGCATCTATTAAGTACCACAAATCCAAATAACCTTCTTAGCATGAATAATATGGGCACAATATGAGTATTTTAAAAGTTGCTCTTTACAGAAGACATGGTAAAAATGATAATTTTATTCTATCTAATATAGTAATAGTTGACCCAATTTATTTGAAACATATGACCTTTCAAAAAATTAAAAAATTAACAAAAATAAGCAAACTAAACATATGAGGTCATTGGTATTTTGCCTAATTCTAAAACAAATCCATTTCCTAACCATGACTAAAATTACACTAGCTAAGCAAACCCTACTAATATATTGATTTTGTGAAACATAAAATTTTACAAATTAGGATGCCACATAGATATAAATGAAACAAAAAATACAAAAGAGAATCTCACCAATTTATGACTGTTTCTTTACATTAATTACCTTTTCTTCTTCTCTAATTCTTTAAATAAAGCACCTTTTGTTTCTTTCATTAATTCATACAATTGTCCAATCTGTTGATCATTAAATTTCTCTAAATCATCAAATTTTTTTCCATATTTAATATTATTCACATTATCATCACCATCACTGTCACTTTTACTGCTCTTACTGCCACTAATAATATTAATATCATTAGTGTTAGAATCTTCTTGGTCATGTTTCTTGTTGGATATTTGTGATTCAAGTACCTTTAAATAATTTTGCCATTGAGTTAAAAATCCAACAATGTGAATTGGATTTGTTATATCTTTATGTTGTCTAAATTCTGATTTAACATAATCATCTCCTACTAGACGTAAAGGTGTTGGTAATTGTTGATGTATCCTTAGAATTTGACGATATAATGTTAATGGTGGCAATAATTTTGAATTTAAGATTTTAGTAGATTGTGAAATTAATTGTTGTCTTGAATTCATCTTAGTTTCGTTATATTCTTTTAACAAAAAAAATTTTTTGTGTAAAAATCAAAAAATTCAAATTTAAAATTTTAATTTATAAATAACATTGAATAAAAAATTTAAATACAACCATACTTCAATCGTCATCTATAATCACTATATACAACTATTACGATGATTTAACAATGATTATTAAAGAAGATGGAGTATTAATAAATTTAATAAATTGAAAAATATACGATTTTTTTGATCTGATATAGTTTTATAAAGTTTAAATTAATTAAAATTACGAAGCGAACGAATATAAAATAAGTTCCTTCTTTCAAAATCAAAAAATATATCCAATAACAATAAATTCTTTTTTTCCAATTATTCTTTATCACTAATGCCAATAATATTAAAAATAAATAGCTATTGCCATCATTATCTTCATTTTCATCTTTTAAATTCCCTTTTTATTATCAATTAATTTATTTACAATAATAAACTCACATTCCATCACACCTCTAACAATTTCAAATAGATTGATAACAATAACAATAATTAATTAAAAGCGATCTTTCTTTGAATGTTTTACCAGCAAGCGAATCATTTTTCGATACTTATTATAATATGGCTGATTATTTAACCTCAACAGATTCCTTGGTATCCTAATAACAACAACAACAACAAAAATGATGGAGTTATTGCCGACGATGCTCTTTGCCTTCTTCCACCTTCATCACATTGTCTTCCGCCTTGCTCACCACCACATTATGCTCCTTGCACTCATCATCTTGATTTTCCTGTAAAATGTATTGTTTGATGATGCTATTACAGACATATTATGTGATTGTTTTTTACGGCAATGATGTTGTTGTCATGGTAAATGTAATTTTTAATATACAACACGTGTTCAATCATTTTCTTGATTTTGGTGTAATCTAATACCAAAAAAAATTTTTTTTTGATAAATCATGGAAACAAATGATTTAGATTTGACAAGAAAGTCAATCTTAGAACAACGCAAAAGAAATTTGTTATATTTATTAACTTTCATATTTTCTCGTAAAGATTATGAATGTTTGTCGCCTAGCTTATCAAAAATACTTAAAAGTGTTGGTTTGAAAATACCAAATAACGAAGAATTCAAAGATGCTTCAAAGTAATCCCTCATTTACTTTTAATTATTATGATTATAATCATTAATTAATTAATTATCAATAATAGTTTAAAGCCACACGACCATCAAACTGCCATTAAAGCAATTTTTTGTCTTCACGATGACTGTTTACCTAACACTTCTAGAAGTGGTTTATTGGCTTTTTTAAAGGTTACTGCTATTACAATTGTTATCGAGATTTTGTTAAATTTATCAAAAAATTTAAAAAAGAAAAAAAGGTCAGTAATAAATTATAAAATTACAAAATTACAAACTACAAAATTGATAAATATTACTATCACACATTCACTCACTCAAACATTTATATGTCTAATTTAGTATTTTTAAACTATTGGACGAAAGACAAATAAAATCTAGTTATCGATTTGCAATCTCAGTTTCCTCTTACATAGTAATATATAAATCATTACTTAGATTTTTCATACGTCTACTCGATCCTCTATTAAAACCTCCAACGAATCCAAGTATCAATGATGTTGTTTGTTCGCCATTGGTTTCTCCATTTTTGGCCGGATGTTTGGCTGGTCCTTGTTTATTGATCGATAATGATAAACCTAGAAGAATCTCCTTGGCTATTTATACATTTACTAAAAGTTTACAATTTTTATATCATTATCTAAGGAAAACTCATATAATACCAAAAATGTCATGGTGGTGGGGTTCTTGGTTAATATTTCCATTAAGTTCTGCTCAATTGATCTATTCCTATTTGTTACATCCTGATACTTTTCCTGTATGTTTATAAAATATATATATATTATGTTTCATGTATACATATTAATATTATAACTTTCTTTTAGGAATCTTATTCAAATTTCATCACAAGCCGTAGTTCCACTTATGTCCAACCAATCCCTGAATATTTTCCAAAATCAATTTCATGGCCAACTGGTAGAGAAATAGTGGATCGTATAGAAATACTGGCTTCACTTTATTATCCAAAATTCTATTCATCAAAACTCCATGGTCGTGATGCTCCGCCATTACCTGACGCTTTAAAATCTGTCAAAGTGATATTTGAGATAGCTCATCCTGCTCATACAAAAATGATGTGTGCTATGTTACATCCTGAAGATCCAAGTTGTCTAAGAACTTTTACAAAATTTATTGTAAAAGAAGGTTTGACAGCTTTGAAATTTATGGGAGTTATGCATGCAGTTGGTTTATTGTTTAAATCAAAATCTTTTCTTAAGAGGTAAATAATCTTGTTTTTTTATTTATTATTTTAATTTTTTTTTCATTAAAATAGATCCATTAAATATATTTAAATAAATATAATTTATTATTTTTAGACCAAATGATATTATAAAACATATTTTAAATTCCACGATACCTGCAACATTTAAAGGAGCAACATTTATTACGATGGCAATTTCAACTGCATGGGCTTTAATTTGTGGTTTTCAACAAGTCCTACCAAATAAATTTATGCCTATTTCAAGGTAAAAAAGTTTAATTATCAATTAATATATAATGGAGTAATAATGATATTTCCTATATATATATAATTTTATAAATATATGCAATAGAATTTTTATTAATGGATTTATTGGAGGATTATGGATTTTAGTTGAAAGTCCAAATCGTAGATTAGATATTGGAATGTATAGTTTACGTTTATCAATTGAATCTACTTGGAAATTACTATTAAAAAAAGGAAAAGTTAGGAATATTAGGTAATGATTTTCAAACATATTTACACATTAATATTTACTACATATTAATATTTTTATAATAAACAATAGGAACGGAGAAGCAATTTACTTTTCATTAGCTATGGGATGTATAATGGCAATTTACAAAACTCAACCAAAAAGCATTTCTAGTTATTACAGAATTATTATTAAAAAATTGCTTAATGAGTAATCTAAATAATATTGTTAGATAGGCTTTGTTCAAAAAGTTTAAAGTAGGTTATTCGTATTGAAATTGATACCTTTTAGATCAACTTTCGGAATAATTATTATTATTAAAAAATTTTTTTCGTAATTTTTATTTACAAAAACTAATAATTATGGAAAGACATCATCATGAAAACAAGACATTATAAACAAACCAGTTCATTGTGTGTATATATATATATATATATAATTAAATATGGAAGGGTTTCAAAAACAGCTGATTCATCAAAAAAAAAGATATTTTAGAAATTTTACCAAACTTCATTTCATTGTTGTCTATCTTCCTTCTATCGACTTCCAACAGAATATACAAATAAATTTAGTAAATAAAAACAATGATTACAACAACATTAACAAATAAAATAAAAAAATATATTTATAAATAAAGTAAATATAAAATAAAAAACATAATGATAGTAGCAAAGCAAAAGTAAAAAAAGAAATGAGTTAATATAAAAAAAATTATATATATAATTTGTACATGGAAAACTGAAAAAAAACAATATAATAATATTAATTAAAGATTGTCCAATTGAAGGAAAGAATAAAATAACAGTTAAGAAACATTATATGGCATATAATATAATATGAAAGGGAAAGATATATATATACATATAACACGACAAACAATGATTGTTCCTTATATATATATATATATATATATATATATTATTAATTTTTTTTAAATTAAGCAATTTTTTCGTATATTGACTAAAGCACTAGAACCAACACCATTTCTAGAAAGTTCATTTAATGCTACTGAAGTTTGTCGATAGATTTGTTCCAATGGCGGAATTGCAGGTTTTCCTTGTGATACTGAAAAATAAATAATTCGATGGTATGAAGATTAATATTGTTGTATTTATAAACTGGAATTTTTTTCACAATAAAATTTTTTCACCTAAAATTGCACTATTTAATGCATTGGCAACTGGCTCACGTTCAGATGGATCTAATAAATAAGAAACAACACTTTCTCTTGGATCAGTATACGCTAATAATGAAAATGTTTCCTAATAATAAATAAATAAACACATAAATATATATACATATATCGAATGTTTAATAAACAACATTATCTTAAACAAATATATATATATCTAACCAATAATTTCTTTTTTACTTCTTCTCGAGTATCATCACGATAATCATCTTGTAATTCTTGACCGAATCGTACAGCAGACTCTATCATTCCTCCTAATCCATTTAAGTTTACCTCGGGTCCTTTCCGCCGTTTTAATGTTTTTTTGTTTTTGTTTGATAAATTATCATCTTCTAATAAATTGAGTTCATAATCATTCTGTGTATTTGAAAAATCATCAACTTCCATTGCATCCTCATATTCATCATCGTCCTCATCGTCATCATCTTCCTCCTCATCGTCATCCTCATCGTCATCTTCCTTCTCTTCTATTTCTCCCGCCTCGTTGTTATTTTCATCACTATCATTATCATCGCTATCTTCCTCAATCACACCACCATTATCTCCAAAGACTTCAATATCATCATCTTCCGCAATAATGTCGTCTCCATTATTTTCTCCCTCGCCCTCATCAATAATTTCGACTAATTTTTTATCTTTCTTGATCGCGACATCATCTTCGTCTGAACTCATTATTTGACTACCAGCACACTCTCTCATCATTTCGATAAATTTGCGACATCGAAGTTGAAACAAAATATCATCGTTAGAAGGTAAAACTGATGGATAAAACTTATTGGTTAATTTGATGGCATCATCTATATCACCTTTAAGGACAGAATCTCGAATTCCTATAAAACAACAATAATATAAATTCAATAAAAATTAATTTCACGATAAACTATCTTTTTCAAATTATCAATCTTAAAAAAAAAAAAAATATGTATAATTGTTTTTCATACTCTGCCTATTTAACATATCTTTATCTAAATTAAAAGATGTGTTCTCAATTTCCACTCCTTCCATCGCATTACTATTAAGAATAGAATTTATTCGTGTAGCATCTTGTGAAAAAACTTTTGCTGCCTCGCTGTATCCATGATGAATTAAATATGATATAATAAGTTGATGTACTGTAGATGTAAGATTTGTTTCTGATGCAGTTTTATTAATTTGTAGATTGTTAGATGATAATGATGACGACGATGGTGGTTGTGGTGACAATGATGGCGAAATAGGTGGCATAAGTTTAGCATTAATTATTTTCCATAGACGTTCTTTTTCTGCCTATTTTTAAAAATTTTTTTTTTAAATTTGAATAGTCATTATTATTATTATTATATATTATTATAATTAATTTCAATCAACCTTCACATAATCTTCAATTGAATATTTGAATTTCTTTTGACCAAAATTGACTTCTAAAGATTCTCCTTGTGTCCTTAATCCAATTGATGGATAAAGTGTTCCTTTTAAATCTCTAAATGCAATTCCTTTTATATATATTTGTTATTGTTATTGTTATTGTTATTGTTATTGATTAATATAAATCATTAGATTTTATATGTATATATGAGTTTACTGACCAAGATGTTTTCCATTTTTTGTATAAAAAGCTGTGTTATCTCTAAAATTTAAACAACATCCAATAATATCACCTGTTGTAAATGTAGGTCCATATGGTTTTCCAGTACCAGAACAACAGAAGGAATGTCCATCATCACCATGATATCCCCAAGAATCTTGTTCCCAGCCTTAATTTTAATTAAACAAAAATCATTTTGATTATATTAATATTTAATTTATCAATAATAATAATAATAATAATAATAATAATAATAATAATAATAATAATAAAGGGTTTATTTTTTTTTTTTACCTGGCAATCTATTTAAAGCAACAGATTTTGTACAGAACCCAATGCCAATATAGCTAATAAAATTTATATATAATCATATTATATTTATTTATTTAAAGAACGAAATTATCGAAATTATAAAAATAATGTACAATTTTGAATCATTTTTACACTCACCCATCTTTTCCTTTGTTTATAATTTCTACTTCAAAATAAAATAATCCACATTGGGGAGGTATTGGATGATTTGCTCTTATTGCTGCGGCATCTGAATCACTTTTACCACTGCCTGCAAGAAAATAAAATAATAGTAATATAATGAACAATGAAATAAAAATTCAGTAATAATAATATTCATAATAACAACAATGAAATGATTTTTGAATTTAAAAGGAATAGTCTCAAAATAGAAGAGATTAATGATTAATGAAATTTTAATAAAACTTCAATCAGAAATCTTTTGTTGTTTGAAACAAAAAAAAAGATATTTATGTCTATAGTTTAAAATATATGACAATACAAATAGGTTTATTTTTTAGAGTATCTTACCTGTATAATTTACTTTAAGTTTATTTTCTTCCACGTTCAAATGATTACATTTATCTTCAACATTCCAAGCTGTAGGCAAAGCGAGAGCCTCAAAAGAAAGTTTATCAGAATCGTTATTAGCAAATGCCTCAGGTTCAGCTTCATTATACAAATCAGCAAAACTTGTCTCAACCAAGTAGTTAGGAAGTTTTGGTTTTACAGGTATTGATTTAGATTGCTTATTTTTGTGAATATCTTTATATGAATTTATGTCTGAAGATGCAGTCTGAGAATAAGTATAAGCAGATCGTGTACTAGAGCCAGAAGCAAAGGCAGTTGCTGTTGAATTTAATGGATAGTTCGACATGGCACGTGTGTATGGTGAGGCCATAATAGTGGAATATGAAGAAGAAGTGGTGGAAGAATGATGATTTGACATATTTGTTGGCAAAGGTGGTAATGGTTGGTACAGTGAAGAAGAAGAAGTAGTACCTGATAAGGCAAAAGGTGATGTAAGCAAGCTACTCAATGATATTGTTCTCCTTCTGGAGATAGAGTTTGAAGTATTTGTCATTAACGGAAATATGACACAATAAATCTTAATGAATAAGTTTTAAGCGATTTTTCAAGTCTAAGTTTCTTTTGCTTATCAAATTTGTAATGTTTGATCATATGTGATGTAATCAAATTATACATGATTTTCTAATTTAATAAAAAAAAAAATCACATTAACACAAAAAAAATATCAAATTGAAATTTGTGTCAATTTGACGTTATCACATTCTACAGAGTGATTATTGATGATGACATTTCCGAATTCACATACATGATTTTTTTTTGCTGAATCACATTGTTTAAAAATTAAAATTTATTGTGTCGTTTTTTTTTAAAAAATCTTGAATTAAAATATGATAGATACATATAAGAAATAAGTGTTTAATATATATATTCATATTGCCAGAATAATAAAATCTAAACGAATTTTGTGGATAATTTTTAATTTCCATTACATCAACTAACTATATAAACTATCCTTGTACTAAATTATATTTTCCCTTATAAATTTACATTTTTTACTAATTTAGTCTTTGTTTTCTTAAGTTTTCTCCACGTACCATCAGCTAAATTCATCTCGAAAATAAATATTTCATGGATTTCTTTTCCTTCATCATAACGAGTAATCCTTTCCACATTCAAATCCAACCTCCTTGTATCATCATCAGGACCAGAAATTCCATCCGAAATATTTATTAATTGACCTTTTACTAATAAACGATGTATATATGATTTTCAGTAAGTTGATCTTTTTTTGTTGATATATTATTATTATTAGAAAATAATTTTTACCTTCATTATGTAGATCAGCTAAGAAATAAATAATTAACTCCCTGTTTTGCTCATCAAGCATATTTGCTTTCTCCAATACTTTATATATATGTTCTATAGTTTGTTGTCGTTCTTCTTTAGTTTTGCTATCCAATATTTCTATATTTTTACATAAATATTAGGATGATCCAAAAAAATTCATTATACAATTTCAATGTTTGATTTTAATCAAAATACCTATGATCCTTTGTGGTAATCTTATGTTTAAACTTGATAAATCAATATTTTGTGAATTATTATTATCTTCTAAAATATCTTGCATCACCTTTTCGTCTACATTTTCATTAATTGGTGAGGTCGGCGATTGTTTTATTTGAGGGTCATTAGATATACCCGACGGTGATAATGGTGATTTGGGTGAGCTGAACATTATTTGTGTATCTTTGTGGGAATTTTCACCTTCAGTGATTATTTCTTCCATACCCATTTCTTCTGTTTCGTCTATTTTATTTAGTTAATAAATAAAAATGGTTATTTATAAACCAATTAAATATAAATTAAATTATTATATACAATATATACACACATAAGGAGACAAAAAATCTAACTATTCTATTATATTTATTCTATTAATATTAATATTAACGTTAACATTAATAACACTTTACCATTTAACTTCTTCCTTTTAGGGTAACCAGAAGAACCTTTTTCGTAAAATGAAAAAATTTAATATTATATAAAAGACAGTAAATATTATAATCCTAACAAAAAATCCTTATAAAGAAAGTTAATAAAATCCATTACCTTGCCGTTTTGCTGTTTCAGAAGCTGTAGATGTACTGGTAGAAGACGTCTCAGTTCTTGCTGCTGCTACCATTGCTTCGACTTTTGCAGTTGCTCTTTCTTGTTTTTCTCTTTCTTTTGCTAACCTAGCTTCCTCCTTTTGACGTATCTTATCAGCTTTTTCTTTTTCTTTTAATAGCCTTTTTTCTTCTTCTTCTTTGCGCTTTTCTTCTTGTTTTTTCTCTCTCTCCAATTTACGTTGTTCTTTCAATTGCACCTCCTCTGATCGATATAATATAACAGAAAGGAATTTTATAAAATGTCAATAGATACATTCTGTATTTTCTTTTATTTGACAGCAGAAAAATATGGCGAGCAATACGATTATAAAATTTGATTCGCAACTATAAACTTAATTCGGGTAATCTATGCAAATGGCTTACCCAATTGTGTTTTAAGTTTAGTTTCTTCTTGATTTCTAATAATTGAGCTTCCAGTTGTTATATCTAGAATCTGAATCCTTGTTTCTTTTTGATATTTCTTTCCTTGAGTTATTTTGATTTCTGTTGGTGATTCTGCTCCCGAAGGTCCGTTAGTAAATCCTAATTAAATGAGAAAGACAACATATTAAAAATTGACGCATATATATGTATGTGATGCATGAACAAAATAAGTTTGTCTTTTTTAAAAAATATTTATAACAATAATAACAAAAAAATAAAAACCTCTGGAAGTATTTATTGGACCAGGGAGCGAAGGATTAGTTCTTGGGTATGGGTGAGATAATCTTCGTGTTAAAGAAGGATGTTGAGACGGTGTTTGTCGATTAACCATTGTATTCTGAGGGATGTTTTGTAATGTGTGTGCGCGATTTGAATCCATATTAAAAAATCCTGCAGTGCTTATTGGTGAAATTAATCCTGGTGACATCGGAACAGTTGGCAAATTATTTAATACATTTAATCGTTGTTCTCTGGATATCTCATAATCCGGTCTTAAAATAAAATAAGGTAATGGCGGTGTTGGTGCTGGTGTTGGCTTGAATGTCTCAGATTCTGAATCTTTTGATATCATAGAAAATGAATCACAGACATTTCTGTCCATGAACGCATATTCCACAGGATGAAATTTGATTTCTTTATTCCCTACTATATATATATATATATGCATACACACAGGATAAAAGCAAATGAATAGACGGATTAAGAATAAAATGTTAAATGATTGATTCTTTTAATATATATATAGATTATATAAATACACGGAGATGTATGTTTTATGTTTAACATTTAATAATATTTACTTTTGTCGATCAATTGTTTTAAACCATTTCGTATGTCTTCAGGAAGGTATTTTTCGACAGCCAGGTCAAGTACGCCTGTTTTAGGATAATCAATCATCATTTTTGATACAAGACGAACCCATTCATCCAAATCATTAGAACCTTCTAAAATTATCTTTTTAGGGAAAATTTTCTCAGAACATTAGTAAATAGTATCTATTTTTTAATTTATTTAAATATAAGTATATATTTATAAAATTTGATTACATCTGATATATCTTTTTCTAATGTTGTTACAGTACTTCTTTTTATGCAGAAAATTAGAAATAATATTGCTAGCTTTTCTTTTGAATTATACGATCTCCAGTTTTTAAGTATGTGAAGTAAAATTTCTCCTTGAAGAGCGGGATTTACTATTGAAGGAATCAGCCAGGGATTTTCAGTTGCTTTTGAAAGCAACACTCTAGCCAATTCTTCAGAGTTTTGATCAGTCGTCATATCTCTTTAATGTAGAAGTTACAACAAAAAAATATATATATATCTATATAAATATATATATCTGATACGTTGTTGAACAAAAATTTGCTTCAGGAATACTACTTTATAAAATGAGTTTTTTTTTAAAAATTATTTTTTTGTTGAAAGAAACTACCTTTTTGTAATACCATTTTTGCAACTTTGGCACGTGATCATTTTTTATTCAATGCTGTACAGTAGTTCCACGTGTAAGGTTTTTTTTTAATTTCAACAACATTATTCGATAATGTCAGACACAAAGCAAAAAGGGTAAAAAATAGTTTTTTTTATGACTATATAAAAGATTCATTTTAATTTTTAATTGATTAAATTTGTAGTTTAAAACAAGACGACTTTAGAAAACTTCTACAAACACCAAGACCTAGTGATACACCAGCAAAAGGAATTCTTGGAGTAGCTACACCAAAATATAGAGCAATTCAAGCACAAACACCGTAAGAGAGTGCTTGTTAGTTTTTGACAAAGATTCAAAAAAAATTTAAAGTAGCATAATAAAATGATCTTGCTTTTTTTAAATATTAGGAAAGCAAGTAATAATTCTTTTGCTAAATCTGAAATATTACCGCCACCTTCTTCGAAAACAAAAAGAAGGTTTGTTAGAAATGAAAATTTTGTTGTGAAATTGATGAACGTATAACACAATCGATTTATTCTCTATATTAAATCACGTCTATTTATTATACTAAATTTACCAGTAGGTTCAAAAAGCCAGAGATTTCCGTCGAAACAATCAATGAAAAATATCGAGACCGTGCAGCTGAACGCCGTAAAGGAGATAATCCAGATTATAAAGATACAGAACAAATTCTTGAGGCTCTCAATAATAATGAAACATTAGAAGCAAAATTAGCATATGAACAATCAAAATATCTTGGAGGAGATGCTGAACATACGCATTTAGTTAAAGGTCTAGATTACGCATTGCTTACCAAATTAAGAAATGAAATGTACAAGGGAGAAAACGAAGTAATAGAAGAGGAAAGCGAAATGAACTTATTACAACAAATTCAAGAGGAATCTGAAGATACTCCTAGAATAAAAAGTAAATTAGCACAAAATATTTATGATGCTGTTATTGTCGAAGGCAGAAAAATCCCACCAAAATACAATGAACTATTTGTAGCAGGTAGGATGGCCTATGTTTTTGAATTAGCAGATGAAAATGGGAATTATGGTGATCCATTTGCAATACCGACTACAATTATTCGTAGCAAAGCAGATGTGGGAGATGCTAGTGGTGCAGATAAGTCTACAAATGATTTAGTTATAGAGAAAATATCACGAGTTATGGCAATTGTGAGAAAAGGTGAAAATAATGACGGAGTAGATTCAAAAAAAATAAAAAAAAGATTAAAAGAAAAACAACCTGTAGAAGTAAAAATGGTAAAGCTTGCAGCCATTGATGATTCAGAAGATATATTTGCAGATGCAGGAAGGGACTATAAAGTACTAGTTAATAACGAAGATAGTTCAATTAACAAAAAAGAAGATGTGGACACCCTGTCTTATCCTAAAGCACCGTCATCATTTAGTGAAAACATTAAAAATGATTATTTTGATAAAGAACAGGATTTGATGGAAATCGATCAAAAAGAAGAGGTACAAAACCTCAAGTCTTTGATAGATAACGCAACATCTGTAATTCAAAACAATGATAATAATAACTTATTGAAAAATGAACTAATTACTGAAAATAAACCATCTAAGAGTGAAATTATCAAAAAGAAATTTTTTGGTCAAGATAGTTATGATGGAGATTATTCAACATACGGACTTGGGATAAGTAGTCTAGGTGGCGCAAGAGAAAGTGCATATGACTCTGGTCACTCGGATTCTGATTCTGATGGTACAGGAATTGAACATACAATTAGAGATCAAGGAGTTACCAAGAATAAAAAAGCCCAACTTTCGAGATGGGACTTTGACACGGAAGAAGAGTGGCAAGCCTACAAGGTAAGTGTTTTTGGGCCAATTTTATTATTTGGTAAATTTGATGTTAATGAACGGAAAAATTATTTCGTTTTTTTAAACAGGACAATGTGACAGCAATGCCTAAATCAGCATTTCAATTTGGAGTTAAGACAGGAGATGGTCGTAAAACCCGTAGAAGTGGGAAGGAGTTGACAGAAAAGCAAAAATTAGACAGAGATTGGCAAAAAATTAGCAAAATCATGGAAAAAAAGTATGGATCAAATGATGGTATAGAGGAAGGTTCTTCGCGGAAGAAACAAAAAAATTGATTTAATCTATTAATGACATTATTTATTTATTAAATTTTATATGTATTTTTTTCGATAAGAATTTTAAATAAAAAATTATTCATTTCTTGTACTATTTATTATGGTGCAGAACTTTTTATTGGTTCCTTTAATTCCTCCAAAAATGGAAACGTAAAACCAAAAAACGATTCGTAATTTTGAAGCTAATACTAAGACCTTTTCTACAAAGTTATGATTTCATACCATGGAGGAATTAAGCCTCAAAGTTGCACGAGTTTACTATGTTAACAGTAATATCTTTTTTTATGTCTGCATAACAAATCATTAAAAAACAACAATAATTATCCAGTAAAAGAAGCTACCAAGGGATACCTGGTAAAGCAGTTATCAGAGGATAACCAGGTTAGCTGTCAGCGAACATAGAGAAGCCTCAAAAGGGTCAGAAACTCGAATTGCACGTTCGCAATATACAAATTCAATGAAAAGACGATCAATTAATATTATGTGTATTTATAATTGTAACCAAGTTATTCCTTTTACCCATTAAATAGATTATAATATTATATACAAATTCAATGATTTTTCCTTTAACTGTCATCCATTGATATCTCATTCTCAATAGAAACGGACCATGTTGTGAAAATGTTGTTTTGAAAAAAAAAAAATCCGCATTTTAAGGGTTTACTATCAGTTTTGAAACTTTAAAGAAAAATATCTGGTACTTTACTATGCAAAGTGGGTGTGGTTTCTAAGCCAAAAATATTCTACATACAGCAATGGTATTAACTCAAAATTGCTTTTCACAACATGGTCCGTTTCTAATTTAGATAAAAGCAAATTAGGTAAGGCATATTTATTGATGGTTACTATTAATAGGAAATTTTGTATGAAAAGATCCTAGTTAGTTCTGAAACTAGAAGTTTTATTCTATTTATTCCTCCCATGGTTATTAGAAAGAAAGAATAAGGTTTCTAATAAAATAACTTTATATGTGACAATTAAGCTTAAAATTATACTTAAAACGAAAAAATGAACAAATAGCTTCTTATATCTTGTAAGTTTTACAGTGATTCCAAGTGATCCTTGGAGAATATATGAGACATATGAACATTATGCTACATAAAGGCTTCAGTGTTCAAGATATTTTAATTATCCAATAGAATCTATATAAAGTAAAGTTCAATCAGCCTTTCCGTTCGGGCTTGTATATAATTTTTTTATAGTTAATCCATAATAGAGACGGAAAATTGCATAAAATTTCAAAATTTATGCGTTGCATTTTTTTAAAAAAAAACTATATATATATATAAATATAAAGGAATATCTAAAAATTTTCAATATTATTATCATTACCATTGCCTTCTTCTTCTTCACCACTTTCTATTCTAATTGTTTCGTCATCATCATCACTTTTATCATTTTTGCTTCCCACATTTCCATCACCATCAATTGTAATATCCATATCATCATTGTGGTATTTTTGGACATTTTAATTTGTAATTAAAATAAATATACACCAATTTAAAACACATTCGGGTGTCAATAGTTTATTTATCTTTTTATCATTTATAAAAGAAAAAGTAAACCAATTCCTTTTAGAAGCAAAGCTGATGAATTATCAACCCTACCCAGTTTAACAAATAAGGCCAAATTTTTGATTTGTCATTCCTTAAAAATACTATCAATAATATAATTAATAATAACTTGGTAAAAATTAAAATTCTCTTTTTTTTTGAATATGGAACATTGCATGATTTGAAAAAAAAATCCTGCGCATGTCACATCTCTGATCCATTTTATTAATAAAGCAAATTATTTGGTTAATTAACAAGTAAACCTTATTACACTAAATCAGGAAGATCCAAATCCTCCCTATAGCTAATTGTGGCTTCATAGAAAGTCATCATTGCTGCTGCTGCCACCAGCTAGACATATCCTGCCACAGTTAAAATGGCAGCAGAGAGGTCAGTAAGAATTTGATAAAAGAAGATTCAAACAGATTTTTTGGAATTTGATGATTTATTGTTTGTTATTTTGTTTTTTATTATTATTGTTGTTTACATTCATCTTTTTTATTATTTGGAAGTTTGGATCAAATATTCTTTAATTAACAATTTTATTATTGTTTGCATTCATCTTTTTTTTATTATTTGGAAATTTGGATCAAATGTTCGTTGATTAAACAATTTTAATACTGTTGTTCACTTTTACTTTTTTATTTTTTAAATTTATATCATGTGAATTCTCTATAATGCAATTGGTACTTGCTATTTATCCATCGTACAATTTAATATTAAATATAAAATTCATTGAAATGAGGATTTGACTATAGGCTCACATTATCATTATCATTATCACTATAATTATAATCACCATTATCATTGTCAATGTTACAAATAAGTAAAGGAGCAATACAAATTATCCTATAATAATAATTTCTAAAATTTTGATCCCACAATCCAACAGTCTTTTAAAAAGCCATCCATCAATCCGAATACTAACAGATTTTTTTCATGGATATCCAGATTGACCATCCATGGATCACATCTCTAAAGCATATTAAATTTGTGTAGTACGGTTATGCAAAAAATGTCTAGTGCAATTCAAAATATTGTAATATGAAGATTATTCTCAAATTTAAAAAAATCCACGAAAAAAAATTTTGACAGATCCCTTTTTTTAAAGCCGAATTGAATGGTGGTGGTTTTTAAAATCTAACATGTGGATCACATAATATTTCAAAATTTTAGAGTATAGATTATTCATGTAATAATTATAATCAATGCGTATGTTACATTAAAATCATATGAACTGCCAACGAAATGACTGTCGACGAAATGAACTGTCGACGAAATGTGTGTCAACGAAGTGATTGTCAATGAAATGGATTGGACCCATTTATTTACCTACCTTTCTCTTTTTTTTTCCATTATTATTGAAACATATATAAAATAAAAACTAGGGATTAGTTTCATAGACCATATACACGCAGTATAGATATTAATAAGGCATTTATGACTTTAAGCTAAAATAAATATTTAACAGATATTTATGTGTTTATGGAAGTTATGTGGTTTGCAATTTTAAAGGTCATTCCGCAAGTTAACTTATACATTTGGTGAACTTTTTGATCATGAAAGAGATTTTGAATGGATTAATAAATAATGATGATTATCATGACAATGATATAGAGGTTTCTAATGCAACCATTGAATCTATTCAAATCGAGTGATTTGTACAAACTATTATTTTTTTAGTGAATAAATCAAGGTTCTTGGCCGGCTAAGGTTTTCTACCAGCTGACATCACTAGAATTTTAACCAGACGAAATACTTTACAGGGAATTATTTCGTCAAATTGTGTCACGCTTGACAAATTACAATAATCAAATGAAAAGCATAGCCAAATATTAATATTAGTATAGCCACCAAAAAATGATTTGGGGTTCCTAGCAAAAACTGAATTCATGACTTTCTTGTCCATAGTGGTCATATCCGTCAGATATCCGAATATTTGCCTTCAAATAAATTTAATCTGGATATTAGGTGGTATGCGGATATCCGTATAAAAAAATAATTTTCCTTGTGAATTTCATATTTAAAAAAACGAGCCTCGCATTTAAGTAAAGATTGTTCTACTGTCAAATATATTTCAGTGGACAACCAATTGGAATTCGTTGGGCTTTTAAAATTCGCTAAATAAGCACATCTTTGTTTTTAGTTTCAAGTGCGATGACCAATATTGTACATTACGTAAAAGCTGATACTCATGACATAATTGACTTGTTTTACGCTTAGATGATAACTAATGTTCGAACATGACGCATTTTTGTTGTTTTTGCATTTTTTTACGCTACATAAATAAATATACCTTGCATGCTAAGTAAATTTTGTTCCACAATCAGCTTATTTGTCCTTTGAATTTCAATAATAGACAAATAGTCGGTTTTAAGTTTTAACTTTATTTTCCTTGGTATAATTGTCGGATATCCGTTGAATATCAATATTAATATCAATATTAATGTCTGTAAAATAAAAAATCTTATCCGTCGAATATGGTCTGACAGACATAACCACTACTTGGCCAAAATCGGGTTTTGTACAATATGTGTATATAAGCATTATTTACCTAGTAGGAAGATTATATAAAAAAATATTAATAAATCAATTATATATAGATCGCTGAAGCTACCCTCCTTAATAAATGATTGCTGTTGAAATTGTTTGAACTCCTTAAAGTATATAATTATTTCATATAAAGAATGTACTACTTTTTTTAATATTTATATTATTGTTATTGTTATTGAAAACCGTTTGATTTGATTGGCTAAATGAATTTCTCCAATTTCGTCAAAAAGTCACTTGCGAATTATATTAAATAAATGTATGATTTCGTCAACCATTCTTAATTTTAATTACCTTTATTTAATGCCTCAGGCCAATATATTTACAATACAAACTTTTACATTACTCATGTAAGGCCATGGATTATATCTTAATATTAATATACAGAAATGGCTAAAACTCCAACCCTGCAGTTATACAATAATATGATAAAAATGTTAAGTATATACGAATACATACAATCAATTCTTTACTCCCATGGACCCTAATTCATTTTATGTCCTTTTTCATATTGTAAGACTTCCAGAATTCTATGTAGAAAGTTGTTGGTGGGAAAACATTTAAGAAGATTTTTAACAAAATAATGCTAACACAGTTCTATATCACGTGTCATGGGCGGTTTGACAATCATCAACAATTTTGGACTATCAAAGTCTGTAACTAAGACACACCGGAAATCGTTACGATAATGTTGCTACAATATTTTTTATGAGTTCTCTAATAATAGAAGAAGTCCAGATCAATTTAATATAGAAAGGATAGCATGAAAAATTAACTGCTGCTGTGTGTCTAATTGGCGCAACAGCAACAGCCAGCGACAATGACTTCTATGAAGCCACAGTCAAATATAGACAGAAACTTATTTCCTTGACGTTTTAACACAACACTAGCTATAAATTATTAATAATCCTTTTTTTATTGCAAAATAAAAAACAATTAGTTTTTATTTCATACTGTTGATGAAATAGTATCAACAATAACACCAATATTGTTAATGTTATCCACGTTGTTTATGACAGTAGGTGAAATTTTATCGTTTTTCTGTAGGTTATCTAAATTTAACAATTGATTCTTCCTTATGTCTAACAACCATCTCTTATAAATTCCAACATCAATATTTTCAATAGTTACATTAGCTTTGTCACAACATTCTTGACTAAATCTTTCATACGTTTCTCGGTCATTAATCAAATATCTTAATGATCGAATCCATGGCTCAACATCTTGTTGAGGTATTTTGTATATGCCCATCTTTTTTATGGCATTCGGATCAGTTTCTCTTTCACCATTTGTTACATTAACATGAATAGTTCCAAATTCAACCCCACATTTTGCTTCGGGCAAACCCCCCGCATCAGAACAAATAACTGGTATTCCGCGTAACATCGCCTCCACAACAACAAGACCAAATGCTTCATACCTAACATATTTAAAAATAATTTTAAAATAAACATTCATTCAATAAAGAAAAAAAAATTTTTTTTCTATTTACCAAATAGAAGGTACGAGAAGTACTTTGACTTTTGGCCACAATTCTTCCATATTTTCAAACATTTGAAAGATCCTATTAATAAAAAAATGAAATAAAATAAGCTGATGTTAAGATTATAAAATTATTTTTCTTTATTAAATTTATTATATATAAACTTACGTGACATTATCCAATTTTTTCATTTCGTTTAATAGATAATCATTTACGCTCCAACTTTTAACAGCTGCGAATTGAACATCTCTCATTTTTTCAACAATTTCTTTGAAGATAGTGTAACCTTTAATGGCCCCAGGATTAATGATGATAACGTAGGGAGCATCAAAATTGTAATATCTCTTGAAGGGTGGTTGGCCGTATGTTTCTGGATGTAAAGGAAGATATGTTGAACTAATTCCTTCGCCATAAATGTCAATATATCTTTTAACAGCACGACTAACGGACCATACACCTTCAATTTCTTTAAGCCATTTGTGTTCCATGGGAGAACAAGTGCTGCCGAATCCTGGAACACCGCCATATGGGCCAAATGATAAATGCTCACACGCATGGCAAATAAATATACGAGTTATTGAAGAAGGTAAAGTAGAAGCAATCTTTAAAGCGACAGAATCATTGAATATGAAATGAGTTGCACGAAAAGTCATGATTTCTTTTTTTATAAAATGAAGATAAAAATTATATTCTGCAGCGGATTCTTTATCCTTTTACATGTTAAATAAGCGAAATAGATAAATAATATGCAATAAATAATACATATATATACAGTATATATATATATCATACCTCCAACCATCGTTTCATTCGAGAATTGACATCTTCAAGCGGATTAGATATGGAACTTCTTGGAAATATTTTAAGATAGTCTTCCAACTCGAGACCTATCATCCCTACATTACCCCAAATAAATCGATAGACACGGACTTTATCTTTTTCCAAATCGAAGCATACTTTTTCTTCAATATAATTGACACCAGCAGCCAAAATATCATTCTTCCAACAAAGTACGAGAGATATACAAGCATGTCCTTGAGATGATAAAGAAGATAATAGATAATGGTTTGCTTTGTAACCGCCTGAAGTATTAAAAAGACCCAAAGCTGTTTGAATCAAAAATATCCTTAGAATTTGACGAGAAGTTGGATAGACTTTTTGTGATGATGGATAAGTGGTTAATTGTGGAAGAGAATTTGTGTTTGCATCAGCAGCAATCATTTTAATTTATATTAGTAATAATGATTTCTGTTAATTGAGAAATTTGTGTATAGTGCGAGTGGGAAATCGATTTATAAACAAAAAATTTATTTTAGGCGTACATATTAATTATTTTTTAAGAAACTGTTTTTATGAATGAATTATGATGTCATGAATATTATTCGGTATGATATCATACAGAAACTCGTGGAAAAAATTTTTTTCTATTATACTAAAATCTGTAAATCAATGCTTTTTAAAATAACTCGAATGCCTGTAAAAAAATTTCGAAGTCTATTAATCCAGATTTTCATAACATCATTTTATCCAATAAAAAAGGATTTTTAAAATCCAATAATATCATTAGGCACTATAAATAGGCACGATGTTTTTATCAATAGACAGCTTGTCATTACTCGCAGATCTTATAAACCTTTCACCTTTTACTAAAGGTTTCTGTGTGGGTGCCCCGTTAAAGTGGGGTAATGAAAATTCTTTTGTGTATATATATTTAAGTGGGTTGATGATGGGTGGGTCTTTGGAACATAGGATGATAAATAAATATTATAAAGAATAATTATATTTAAGCATGCTGGATTAGGGTGATAAATAAAATTTGATTTTTTTTGCTTGAAAAGATATAAAAGATTTCTTCAATTTATGTGATTGTAATAAAAATGAATTATAATTATTTGTCCATAGCTAGTGAGTGATCTATTAATTAATGATATTTATTCCATTAAAACAGTTGCACCAAGCCCCTCTAACGTCTTTTTAATTTTTTCTGCCTCTTCTTTATTCACATTTTCTTTAATGACCTTGGGAACACTTTCTACAAATTTTTTTGCCTAAAGAAAAAAAATTTTTTGTCAAGAGTGAGAAACACGTAATGTGTATAAACATTTATTTATGTATTACCTCTACAAGGTTTGTTCCAGGTATAATATTTTTGATTTCACGAATTATCTTTGTTTTAGAAGCAGGATCAAATTTTTCTAATTTTAATGTGAATTCTGCTTTCTCGGGAGCCTTTTCTTCCTAATAATCGAAATTTTATTAGTTTATTAAATCAAAATAACAATCAATTTTTATTTTGATAATGATTAATTAATTCAATCAATTAAATACTTCTACAGGTGTAGATGTTGCATCTGTAGGTGCAGCTGTTGCCATTGAAGCAAAATTTACTGCAGGTAATGCAACGTCTTGAATGTTCAACTTTATCTGAAATTCCAATTCAAAAATTAGATTAAAAACAGTGTCTCTTTCTTTCATTATTATTAATAAATTATTAAAATTACTTTTAATGATTTGACAAGTTCTGATGTTTCGATTAAAGATAATGATGCAATTTGTTCTACTAAATTTGAAATTTTTGGATTGTCTCTTTCATTTTTTCCTGGTGTCGGTAATTTTACATTATTATGTTCTGCAGCTTCAGTTGCATATAATGCTACGCCGTATTTTATTACACTATTATCTATTTTCCCTTGATATTTTGAAATTACAAAAGTTGAATTTCTAAAAAATCAAAAAAATTAGAAGATATTTCATTTCATATGCAGAGAAATCTTGCATCTATTTCACATTTCTTACCGAGTAGTAGTTCTACTAAAAAACGTATTTATTATATTTCGATACTTGTTTAATTGAATTGAAGTTTTATTTTGATGTTAATTGATATTCTGTATAGGATTCATAAAGATACAATTTCAAAAAGAAATATTTACCATGAAGAAAGAGATGATTTTCATCAATTTAATAGTCCAATAAAAATACTTGGAAATTTTATTGTAATCTTTTTTTGGTATATTATTATCTGCCTAAAAATTATCCGGCAAATGACTAGTATTAGTGTTAGTGTTAGTGTTAGTAGTGGTTTTTATATTTAGTTTCTTTTTGTATTTTTCCGTAAATTGTTTTTTAAAAAAAAGATCTTGAGATAGCAAAAAAAAAAGAATGGCAATTTCACAAGGTTAGATCTGTTTTTTTTATTTTAATTTTTATATTATTTGTTGTACTCTAACTAAAAGATGGTCGTTAAAACAAACCCCACACAAAATTCTATTGTGGTCAGACTCAAAAAATCCACCAGCTCTTCCTCCACGTAAATCTGAATTTTCGGGAGGAAAACCACAAACACCACCTGCCTGGCTTGTTTCTCTAACACGTCATAACCAAGGAGAATATAACCACCCTCATGAATTTCTTTTATCAAAAACTTTATTCAGTCGGTTCTTCGACACACAGTTTCAACTAGGTTTTTTGCATCTAAAAAATATTGAAAGATTATTAAAATCAACTTTTATCAATTGTATTTATATTCAACTTGCCTTTAGACCGCACATAAACCATACAATAAGGATTTGCTGAAGATCCTGTCGTGTCGGCAAGAACTTCTCTTTCTTCAACCTAAATAAACATAGATCATTTTACAGATGTGTGTAATCATATATATATATATATGTATGTGAATGAATGAATACATGAATATTAATTAAATCTATCAAACCTCTGTTACATAAGAATCGTTATATTTTAACCATCGATCTTTTTCAATATCATAAATATATATCCAATAATGACCAAATGTAGCCTGACCTAAAAAACATAATAATTAATATAATTAATATTTTCGTAATGAAGGAAAATCGAATTTAAACTTTATTATTAATATACCAACCACTATGTATGAATACTGCATGTAAATGGTATTCACACTCTTTTAGGTCATGATAATGTTGTTTTAATTTATGCCTTAAAGTTGTTATACTATCTTCAGCATCTAACAAAAATCACAAAATTTAAATAAATTGTCAAATACTCTCCCACAAAATATATACATAGTATCTACCAGAAATTCGATTGGTAACTCTTATGCTCTCTTGTTCCATTTCTGATAATTGCCAATCTGCGTTTTCATCAAATAAAAATTCAGAATAATCAGATTTCATATTTTTTATAAAATCAGCTGTTGTTCTAAGTAGACTTGACGGATTTAACATAGTAGTCTATTAATAGATAATTATCAGTTTTTATAAAAAATATCTTTTTAATAATTATGAAAATCTTATTCACACACACACACACACACACACACACACATATATATATTAATTAACCTTATCTTGAGAATTTTCTTTGAGTGTTGTTTGTAATCGATCTATTTCCATTTTCCAAGAATTTGCTTGTAAACGTCTTTGTCTCAGCAGGTCACCATTCTTATCTAAATACCGATCAAGATAAATTACTTTGTCGAAACGAAGAAATGCATTGGATTTATAAACATTGGAAGTTGATCTATCGAATTGCACTCTCTATTATTATTAGATTAAATTTTTTAAATTTAACCCATTATAAATACTAAAATGAGAGCAAATAAATTTGTCGAGAAAATACACTTACTTGTACATGTATTTGAAGTATAGGTGGTATGCTTGTTAGAGTTACTTCTCTTTCGGCTTGTGTGCCTTCAAAATCAACCTATTAATAATTATCATGTATATATGAGTAATATTTAATTATTTAAATAAAAATTATTATTATATATCTACCGTTGATGTATCAAAATAAACATCAAGACCATCATATAAATCACGACCTTCAGCTACAATAACGATGTTTAAAAAAAAGCAATTAAGGAAATTAACAAATAAATGTA